TGAGGAAAGGGTTCTGAGAGCCTTGGAAGTGATATTCGTGATCACCGCGAAATTCTCTATCGAATGGTGTATGAAGTGTCGAAAAATAAATTTCACTGCAAGGCTGCCCTGGGTGCATCTTACCAAACTTGTGACTCCAAAATGCTAAAACTTGTTATTTCTTTGATGTGTGGTATATAATAAAGTTATTAGATATTATTGTTTCAATTAATAATGATTGAATTTTAACAGAATCATCCAAATTTTTGATACTTTTAATTATGTCTATCAATGCACAATACGACATGTATCAAAAATAAATTTGAATAAATAGTACCACATTAGCTAATAGACTGAAATCATTTCTTAGATATCTATTGAAACAAGCTGTAATATGGTTTTGAAGTGAACAGTCGACAGTTGATTCGTTCAAGATCATAAAGCATGTTTATTCCTAAATAAAAAGTTTTGTTTCAAATGTTCTTTTATATGTGTGTCGTGCATTGACATACATAATTAGAATTCTTCCTTTCTCCACTTTCCCACATTATTTTTATTTTCTGTTCTGTTTTTTACTATGTAAATTGATCATTTGACTACTGTTGTTAGTAGATAACTGACAAAACTTGTCGATAAAGAGTGTTATTTTATCGCGCTAAAAAAGGTAACTTTTCTTTCAATCTCTCTACTGAAAATATTTACTTCAAACTCATCTGTTTTCCCTACTTGTTTCCAGTTGACATTTTTGTCAATGATGATAAACTAAGTATTGCCTACCATAGAGATGAATCAACTTTTTGTCTTTGTTCTATAAGTAATAATGAATATACGATGATTTATTCAGTTTTATTTCGTTGATTCAGTTGAGATCCATCAAAATAAATTAATAAATTTTTCAACTTGACGCGATAAATAAACTCATCGACCTTTTTTCTTAATAGTTATTAATAACGCGATTTATCGTGGTAAAAATATTTCTAGAATAATGAATAGAGTCGTTTTAACAATGAACTTAACGGAAATAACAGTATTAAATAGTTAGCAGCTTCTCTGTTACTAGTTTTACAGTCACTCGTTGGATGTTTTTAGATTATGTGAACTGTTGACAAGTTTAATAAGAAGATTATCAATTGATGTAAGAACATGATTTTTTTCTCTGTTTATTTCATCTGAAATGCAAAATACTTATAAAAATTGAAAAGACATATTCTATTGCAATTTACTACCAAACCATTCTAATTACATTTAAAAACCGAACATTTTCTTTTTCACACTAAAACTTTTATTTATGAAAATATCTAAGACAGTAAGTAAAGTTTAAAATAAGCAACAGACAGTCTTTTTATTCCTTTGATTTTGACTCAGTATACTTAATATCTGAAGGAACTCGCGTTAAAACTCATTACTGTTGCTAAGGGTAATTCGAAAAAGATGGTCAGTCATGGAAACAGGCCCGTAGCCAAGGTTTTTACGAAGGAAGGAACCGATTCTTTTTTCCGTTCAGAGGTAGTATGGAATTTTTTTTCTAATTGAGCGCAGAAGTCTTGTACAAAAACTTTTGTGCGTCTGCCCATATCAACTGACAACTTTTTCTTTTCAAACGATAAACGAATAAAACAAAGTAAAACATTTCTACTAGAAATATTGAGACTGTTCCTTCAATACGATTTCTTACTGAGAAAAAAATGTTCAGTTGTAGGAAACGAAATCTGTTTCTCTTTTTTCTTATCACCACGAAAAAATGCTTTTTCGACGTCACTCATACGCAATTTTATTTTGACTGCCATAATATTGTGAGCTGACTCTACGACATCTTCGAAACAGAGTATGGACAGTATAAAAACACTTTTTTAGAAACTTTGACATTATTCAGCGAGGAAAAAATCATTTCTTTAAAACCACATGGCAGTGGGTAGGACAGGGCACACTCAGAACACAGACATTAATGACAGAAAATGAATCAAAAATGTTTACAAGACTACGTCAAAATCAACTCGCCGCATGCTTCTAGTAAAAGTCTGAGCTCTCTCTATCTTCTCTGTCAAAAAATACAGATTTGCTGGGTTATAAAAAGTCACTCCAAAACCACAATTTTGAGAATAATATATCTTATTCGTGATCTAAACACACTTGTTGTATGTTTAAAAATGGATTGAAAGCAAACATCACTTTGTTATTCACACCTTTTGACAGTTTTGCGTGAATTAGCCGTTCGCTTTCAATCTGGTATTATAACGGTTTCTCACCAACAGAAATGACGAATCGGACCGCTACTACTGTTATTTCATAGATGTCTCCACAATCAATGCGAACATCAGGTCCCTTTCTTTTTTAGACGATGAATCTAAGAAGGCGAAAAGCAAACTTCTTCTTGCCGTCTCATTCCGGTAAGTTTCATTTACATTCGAATACATACAAGTGTTAACGAACATACTTCACATTGAAGCATCTGGGAGAGCTCAAATGGTTGCAGTCTCATGGAGCGCATATAGCATTTAAAATCGAACAATTTAAATATATTTGTGCATATCTGCATCTTACCTCAAATCTTAATCTCCAATGTCAAATAACAACCGATCAGATCAGATTTATTGCTCTGTATTTTTATACAGATACATGTTAACTGCATAATATAACTTTGTTACCAAAAACTAACCGTGAATAAAATGTAGAAAAACATCGTACATATTCTTCTAACGGTAAGAATGTCTATGGCAACAAGTTTCTCAAAAAGTTCTTTCTTCGTGTTTTCTTTAGTTTATTGAATCTAGCACTATCCTTCCATCATGAATCGATATAAGCTTTTCGATGATGAAATCGTAACAGCGGATACAAATCAAAGCATCATGCCGGAACTAGAAACAGATGAGCCGCATGCGTTGGAATTTAAATCTGTGAGAAATCATCATTCAAGTGCCAAGATTAAGAATTACATATATTACAAACGAACACGTTTAGAGAAGTGCTTATTGTTATTAATAACGCTACTGGCATTTTTATTGTTGGGAATTGTTTTTGTTTCACTGTCAAAACAACATCGATATGAAGAACAAAAAAAATATCTAAGTAGGAAGAGAGTCGTTATTAATAAAATATGAACTAGTTGTAGCAAAAACACTGCTAGACAGCTAGTAATTACCGAACGAGTGCTATTATTTGTCTTCTCATTTCTTTTGATAATGAAGCTTACTTTCAATCATCATACGTATCTTTCATCGGATGAGAGAAAGACTATTAAATAATTGTCGAGTAGAAAACTGAAGAAACGCTAATCTTTAACGCACTGCGTTTGTTGCACGCTTTTAATCATTAATTCTAACTGACCTCTTTAATGGTTGTATTTCTAGCATCACAAACCAAGCAACCAAGCACACTCATACCTCCCCAACAAGCTCCTACTAACATCACATATACTCCACCTTCTCTGTGTTTAACAGCGTCATGTATCCAAATGGCAAATGCTTTTCTCGAATCAATGAATCAGTCTGCTCAGCCCTGTGAAGATTTTCACGAGTTTGTATGTGGTCGTTGGGTGAGATCGAATATTGTACCGAAAGGTTACTCAGGTTGGTCGATCCCTCGAGAACTTTCTCGAAAAAATTTGATTGTATTGAAAAGTTTACTTGAAACAACACCGCTCGTCGCATCATCTGATCAACTGGTTAATAGTGAAGCAGAAGCAATTAAATTTTATCGAGCATGTATGAACTTAAGTGAAATCGAGCAACGTCAAAGTCGACCTTTACATGAATTTTTTGAGAAAAATTTAAATATGTCGATTAAAGATTGGATTCAATTAGATTCAAATAATGAGATAATGATTAAAGATTTATTTGTTCGATTAACTCATATATTAAGCATTAAATATGGTTTTACATATTTTATGCCCATATCAATCGCACCAGATGATAAAAATTCTACATATAATAATATTCATGTAAGCGTATGTAAAGGAAAGAACTAACTTATAGTGGACTTTTACTGGAAATTCTGTTTTGCTTTGCGTGGAAGTTCGTGCACGTTGATAACTGTAAAGTATATTTATTCATTTTCTTTTAGCTTAATCAACCACAACTTGGTCTAGAGAGTCGAGATTATTACATTAATTCATCGTTGAATAACAAAAGTGATCCAGACACTGATACTAGAAACAAAATTGTAGGAGCATATTTTACCTTTTATTTCCTTTCTATATATTTTCGATTGGTGTTTAGATTCGTGAAACATATGCCAAGGTTGGTGTCGAACTACTCAAATTGCTTAGTTTTAATGAAACAGAAGCAAAACAACGTGTTGAAGCAATTATTGAATTTGAAAGAGAATTGGCCGTTATAAGTCGTAGGTTATCGTTTGCATGGTAGTTTCTATGAAGCATTCATTTTTGTTTTATTTTTTCTAGTTCCTATGGAGATATTACAACGCCCAAATGAAACGTATTATTTAATGACTTTAAAAGAGTTGCAATCTTATTTTAATGATACTCATCTTGATCTTTATAAATTATTTAATGAGTATGTGAATGTTAACTCGTCGAATAACATCATATTAGGTGACAACGATCAATTCATTGTCTTGTCATTGGAGTTCGTCTCGAATCTTGCGAAAGTTTTGTCGAGTTATTTGAATTCACCAACAAAACGTCGTGTCGTCATTGATCATTATTTATTTTCACTTGTATTCGATGTTGGAGCACATTTATCAACAGAATTTGAAAAGGCACAACTACCATTATTGAAAGAACTCTATGGTTAGTTCTGATTGGTTCCTAGTTTTCTGATAAGATGTACATTTCGCTTTTTGCCGTTTATTATAGGGGTTGAAGAGCAACCAAACCGCTGGGAACATTGTGTTACTGAAACAGACAATTCTTTCGGTTATTATGGTGGAATAGGTAAATATCTAGTTTTCAATCACTATTAACATTTTCTTCACAGGTATATTTTACTCTAGGTTCATTATACGTTAAAGCCGTGTTTAATGTAACTGACCGGAGTAAAGCAAATGAATTAATTACAAATATTCGACTAATGTTTGAACAAAATCTTCAGACCTTAACGTGGATAGACGAACCATCGCGAAAAGAAGCAATTAAAAAATTGAAAAAAATTACAGAAAAAATTGGTTATCCTGATTTCATACATGATAAAGTAAAATCAAATGAACGGTAAGTGTTAGAGAACAGAGATTCTATAAGAAGAAACGGAGTTATGAAAATCTTTATTTTTGTTAGATATGCTGGTTATTCAATGTTTGAAACTGAATATTTTAACAATGTTATACGTGTATTTGAACGTGAACGAAGACGTATAAGGTTAAAATATCGAAAAAAAGTAGATAAAGCAGAGTAAGTAGGAGATAAATTGATTGCTTTTGGTATACTAATTTATATTTTTGTTTTTAGCTGGAGTATGACACCAAGAACTGTGAACGCATATTATGCGCCGCAAGGAAATGAGATCGTCTTTCCTGCAGGTTGATTGCTGTCCTTTTCTATCCTTTAGGAGTAATAATTATTATTCGCTTCTTTTAAGGTATACTTCAGCCGCCATTTTTCCATAAAGATTTACCGGTGTCAATAAACTATGGTGCAATTGGAACGGTATGTTATCAGACATATTGGAGCTGAAGTTGCCTATATGATGAATAGTAGCATATTTTACCAATCAAATAGTTTGATTTCTGTATAAATAAGTTTTCATTATTGAAAGTGATAAAATGCTTTTTATCTTTTAGGTTATTGGTCATGAAGTTACGCACGGTTTTGATGATCAAGGAAGAGAATGTAAGAATGATTTTTATTTTAAATTTGTAATGTTTAGAGTATATTTACAAAAAAAAGTTCTCTCCTTTCCTTTTTGTAGATGATTCGGATGGTAACATGCGTACTTGGTGGACAAAGGATGCATTGGATAAGTTTGAAGAGAAAACAAAATGCTTTATTAACCAATATTCAAAATATGCACTTGATGGACAAAATGAAAATGGACAAAGAACATTGAGTAAGAGAATTCTGGATTTATATTTCTGTTACTGATTCAATCTATTCAAGTATATGAATTAATATAACCAATCCTAATTGGTTCTTTTTCAGGTGAAAATATTGCTGATAATGGTGGTGTCAAACTAGCCTATTTAGCATATGAATTACAAAAACAGAAAAATAGTGAAAGTAATTTACTATTACCAGGATTATCATACAATGGTGATCAGCTGTTTTTCATTGCTTTTGCCCATGTAAGTAGCACGTTCTTCTCTATTATACAATTTATTTGTATACTTTTTGTTTTTCATATAGAATTGGTGTAATCTCGAAACGAAGAATGCTCAACATTATGATTTAATTAATGATCCTCATAGCCCAGCGAAATATCGTATTATTGGTACAATGGCTAATTCTGACGAATTTTTGAAAGCATTTTCATGTTCAAAAACATCTACAAAGAGTTCACTGGAAAAATGTCAGTTATGGTGAATTAATCTCTAATTATTCTCTAAGAGAATAAATGTATATAGTACAGTAGTATATGTGTATATATAATACATTTTTTTGTGTTTTTGATGTTACTGGAAAGCACTATGTTTTGTAGCAGAATAAAAATGCAGTAATATATTTTTCTCTGTAAATATATTTTTATTTGTGAAACAGTTTTAGCTCAGCTTTTTTCTTTTTTTGTGCAATAATATAAAAATCAGTGATCCAGCTTTTGTGAGCTTTTCAGCGACAATCAGATTTTTTAGTTCTTAGAGTGTTTTTAATTTGTATATATTTTTTAAGCATATACCGGATTTTGTAAATAAATTCATTGTTCTCGCTGTTGTCCAACTGTAAGTATCGACGATGACAAATCTTTTTTTTGTGTGTTTTAATCTATTATGAAGCCAAGGAGTGTTTTACCGTGTATGCCTATCATTTTAGATGCCTGTCGTTGATTCCGTAAACGATCGACAAGATTTTATTAATTTATTATTTCAAATTGTCCGAACACCCGGTGACAACAGTAGTTTAGATAGCAATGGAGAGAACGCCATAAGAAAGGATGATACATTATCGAGAAAAAACAGTGTGGATGCAGTTGGAGTGAAACAAGAGCCATCATCGTCATCGCCACCACCACCGCCGCCGCCGTCGTCACCATCACCACCACCACCACCACCACCAGAAGAAATTATTATTTTAGATGATGCTGACAGAACTAAATCATCAAATAACGAGATTAATGAAAAAGAAGTTGAAAGTGGAGAAATAACAGAATCAGATGAAACGGAGGTAAAGAAAAACAAAATAAATAGAACAGTTGTAATTTTCTAGTTGTTTTAGAATGAAGACAATTTGGAAGAACTTAGTCTACGTTTAAGGGCATTACGAACTCTGCCCGATGTCACAGAACATGTTAAAAAAAAAAAAAGTAGGTAGATGGTTAACTAGCTTAGCAATGGTTTATGTTGGATTCGATCGTCTTCAGCGAATGTTACTTTTAATAACGTGTTATAACACGACAGTTACTAATCTTGAGGAACCAGACAACATTCATTTCCATACTTCAACGATTAGTGAGAAGCCCATGCTGGAAACCTTGGCCTAATGACTAATTAGTTTTATCTAACTTCATTATACCAAAGAGACAGCGTTGATCGAAACTATGGTTTATAGACTTCTCTGTTTGATTAATAGAAAATAAACATTATCTTCATTGACTATTTCAAAGAAATAATTACGTTATCAACGTGTGATGTGTACAAAAAAGTCATAAATTCATATTCTATATGTATTTACTTTTAATTTTACCAGACTCCAAGTTAAAGAAAAAACGCCTTGGACAACAGCATCAATATCAACAATCGTCTCGTAGTTTTAAAAATCAGTCATCTCGATTTGATAATGATGATATTGATTTGCGTTCTTATATAAAAAAAAGAACAACGTCTTCCTCTGCTTCACGTCTGTCTCAATCGACACAGCAACATTCGCCAACTATTAATGAATTTCCTCAAGATAAAGATTATCGTCCGAATCGAAATCATATTGTTGATTTATTGATTTCTCTTATGTCGTCGTCAACAACTGACACTATGCAAAAACAACAGCAGTCACCAGCATCCATACATCAAAATTCAACTCAGTTTGCTCAACACGGTAAGCCAAAATTTAGTTGAGGAGTCCTTTTGAGCATCAGTTCAAGTAATTATCTAATAAAGTATATAGGTAAAAAAAAGATTCATTACATTTGTATTCTAGGCCTGTTACCAATTCCACTCAACAATATTAATAACCTGCAGCAGCAATCTACACTAACCGATTGTTATGATGTTCTTCAAATGGATATCGAAGATCAAACGCAATCCCCATCAAATATAATCTCGCCTCCTTTGACATGTTATGACCAATTACCGCCGCTTCCCCCACTACCCTCATCAATTCAAAATTCTTACAACTACTTCAATCAATTTATTCCTCTTCATCCAACATTTTTGCGTCCACCTCAACAATCGTGGCCTTTACCTAATTTTATAACTCAAAATGCAAATCCTTTTCCCACTGCACCATTTTGGCGTACGACACCACCTCCGGAAATACCAGTCCCTACGGCTACGGATATTGATCTCCGACAACAACCTTCTTCATTATTAACAACAGTATTACAACCCCCTCCGCCTCCACCACAAGCAGAGCAACAATCTGTGACATCTTCTAACAAACGCATTATTTTGATGAATTCAGATAATGTTCTGAAAAAAGTGCGTCGAAAACGCCTAAGAAAAATATCAAAAAAGCGACGCCTTGAGATGAAACAGCAACAACAAACACAAGTCCCTATCATGGTTCAAGACCAATCAGAAGATTTACAACCAGATAGTACCACAACAGTATTAACATCCACTACTGATGGAGCTCAATCTACTAAGATACCATTATCAACCGAGAATAACGATGAAGATTTAGAGGAATTAAGTTTAAGACGGCAATTATTGGAAAATTTATCATCGAAAAGGCGAAAAAAATTAGAAGTAAGATTCATTAGTCTGACACCGATATTTCCCATCATAACATATTTGGCCCTTTTAATAACAATCGTGAAGATATATATAAATACTGCTACTTTTCTATTCAGGTTGTGCCACGTTCCGCTACTGCTGTATCTGCACCGATTTCTCCCCCGGTTCTACAAACTCAACAAGCTAAAGTAGCTCCGTTAGTGAAGCCACTTGATTCTCCAACAAAATATTCGGTAAATCAACGGTATAAACGCGTTAAAGCAACTGTACCAATGACCAATGGTAGTCACGTTGCACTATCGACAACATCTTCATTCAACAATACTCTTACCACTAATACGACGACACGAATAATACCTCAGACAAATGTGACACCAGCCCAGATTGCTGTAACAACACAAACATTATATCAGTCGAGAAGTAAAATAATTCGAAAAGTAGGTATCGTTTATTAATTTTCTATGCATTTCTTATTAAATCATTTTTTTCCAAGGCCGAAACTGAAGCTGATCTTCCACAATCCAGACCCGTTATAGTAACATTTGATCAGTCATCTGACGATGACGAGCAAACAACCAAAGCCATATCACTTCGAAGTATGTAGAGCTCATGACTAGCACAAAAATACTACTACTCCTAAAATTAACTTAGTTAACTTAGTGTTACTTTTCTTTGTGCTTTTACATCATCTGTTTCTGTAACATTGTAGCTGATACCCTTACAGTTCCAAACTCTGTTCAACATGATGAAGTCGAATCTATTCAACGTTTGCATCAACTTCACGAAGAAGTTACACGACGTTCCAATGTCGCTGTTCACTTAGCTCAACCAACTCCATCGATAAATAAAGAATCAAGTTTATTTTCTACATATGAAATAGCCGATTTACTTGAAAAGAGGTAACATTAGCTTAATTCTAGTGACAGCGCCAAGATTTTCATGATAGGGAACTGAAATTTGAAAATGTTTTCAATATAGTTGACGTCATATGGAGTCGAAATAGATTTGGCTGGTGTTTTTTTGCAGACGAGTTGAAGAAAAATCTTTTTTGTAAGTGACTTATAAGCATAAGGACATGACTAATTCGAAAATATCTCTGCTCAGGTCTTTTCCGTTACCGGGATAGGCGGCATTATCCGTAAAATAACTACCTTTTCTGACGGCTACTTATAATCATACCATTATGAATAAAATAACCATAAATAGCTCGAATACAGTATAGAGACATGTTGCCAGGTGCGAGCTTCCTTTCCATTGGTAGAAATCGTGAAAAAATCAGAAGTCTGACATGGTTAAAAATGCAAAATCCAAAATTTGCAAAATTTGCGCGCTCTACCCGCCCATGGAAGACGTTTTTATAAAATTACAACTGCCAGAGAATTTAAGAACAAAGCTACAGCTGCCTAAATAATCAATTTCACCAAAAACTTTTGCCTTTGAAGCAATAAATAAGAGGCAGTTTTTTGGAAATAATGCCTCTTATCCCGATAATGGAAAAGACCTGAGCAGAGATATTAGTTAAATAAATTGAGTAAATTAGTTATGTCCTTGTGCTAATAAGTAACTTGCAAAAAAGATTTTTCTTCAACTCGTCTGCAAAAAAACTTCAGCCAAATCTATTTCGACTTCATATGCGATAGAAGAGATATAGATAAGATTTTATTCTACAAAACAAAATGATAAGAATAGATCAATAACTAGTCTTCACAATTTTTTACTTTTTGCCATATTTTATGTTACTTTTTCTGCGCTTTTTCTTACAAGAAGGTTTATTGGTAATTTTTATGAACTGTTTTCGAGTTATAACATCTAGAAAAGTGAAATAGTGGGGGAAGGAGGAGGAGCTCTAGCTGCGCTGGCATCGCAGCCACTTAATTCTCGATTTGAAAATACGCTATTAATTTATATTTCTTCTAGGCGTTGTTTATTGAGCGAACATTCGAAACTGGAAGAAGTTAAAAAAAGAACAAAAAAGAAAAAACTTGATAACATCATGTTAACACGTGAAATAGAACAATTGGGAGAGAAATTATTGAAATTAAAATCACAACATACGGCAAATACATTAGATATTACTCAGTTACAGAAAGAAGTAAGTGTTAAAGAAGCAAGATGCTTGTTTATGAACTATTTGTTAATATAAAATATTAATTTAGGCCTTACTAATAACGGAAACAATAAAAAGTCAAGAAGATTTAATTCGACAGTCAACAATATTTAATTCAATCGTATCAACAATAACAAATGTACGTTACAGTTGTCAACTGACAATTACATCTATATTTCTTATCATTTCTTTACAGAATCAGCCATCAAATATCGAAACTGTTCACGTTCCAAGAGTAATTGCTACAAATCTGTTAAAAAAACAACAACCGGTTGTTGATATTGATTATAAGAAGATTTCAACTCAACTTGATACATATTCTGTACGTAAAATTTTTTATTTCTTTTGTTTTTCCTTTCTTTCCTTCGTCACATCTATCGTTAATGAAACGCAACACATATGCGATACCTGCTGATAAATTAGGAACATTTGACCTTGGCCATTATGTGTTGTCCAATGAATATTTACTCAAAATTAAGACCATATAGAACATGGATTCAGGCATGCACAAAAAAGAATAGCAAACAAACACATGTAATAAGTAGCATGACTTATTTTACTACTTAAAATTGACCATTTTTTTCCTTATTTTCTAGACAACAGTTGATAATACCTTATTGAGAACACGATCGTAAGTTGGCATGAATAAAACACATGTGTCTGTCATTGAAATGTTTTTGTGTCAGATTTGCACATCCAAACAGTAATGATTATTGGAAAAATTGTTTGCAGTCGTATTTTATTGATTTAAATCGACCATTTTGCCCTTATGAACTTCAAGGTCTATGTAAAGCACAAAATTGTTCATTGTAAGTTATAAAACACTTTTTATCTTAAATATTATATTCATTAATTTGTTTTCAAATTAGTCAACATCAGCATCAAGTAGATGAACGAATGAACACATTTTTATCTAAAACAGATCCACAATTACAATTTTTTCACGTCACACATGAAGAAAAAGAACGTAAGAGAATAGATGATAAAATTTTTATGCATTATGACATGATTTTCTGTTGTTCTGTTTCAGATATTTTAAAAGAAATTAAACCAGTTTGCTCATTAAATCCATTTGAATTCGATGAAACCTTGTTAGAAAATAATATCACTGACAAAAAGATACAACGTTGTAAGTCATCGTCTCTTCATTAGTTTTAATAAATCATTTCTTTATCTTGTTATCTTTGTTTTAGGTCGAAGTAAACTTGAACGTTATCTATCTGTATGTACTGAAGAATTTCGATATTTTCGTGAAAATACAAAGAGTGAAAGCGTATCTGCGATCCATCCATTATTGAAATTAGTGGCAAATGAACTTGACTCGTATGTATATCTAAATCTGTTATATTGGTATAGATATCTCTTGTTTTTTCTTTTGTTTCTAGTATTGATTTTTCTCCAGAACATACTGTAGCTATGTTGTGTGAAGGACTTGAATCCAATCGAACAAGCAGTGAATTATGGTGTTTCTATCTAGAATTTTCAAGTTTAAAAATGTCTGATATTGAAATTCAACTGTTATGTTCAGCATCATTAAAAAACTCTCAAAGTTATGAATTATTTTGGACTGTAAGTGTCTATACGTTTAGGTATTATCCGTTTCAAAACAGAAAGACCATGGCCATTTGTTTAATAACTTATTCTAGGGTGTAGCTACAGAACTGCGGTTTTCACTAGTCGAAAGAAAAATGTTGGGCAATAAGAAGAACCAAAAATTATTGTCCCCAAATCACCTGCAGGTGGTGCACCCTGCGAAGATATTTTGCGAAAGATGTCACACCACTGAAAAAGTTTCGGATTTTAACTTTTGAGACGACAGGCAGATAGCCCGAGCTGAGATATTCGTTTCTAGAGCAGTCCCAGGTCGTTAGTTTACAAGGTTCCGGAACTAGAAAGGATCTCCGAAGACCACACTAACTCGGTCCGGACACGTCGAAAGATCTCGGAAAGACTTGAAACATAGGTTACCGAATGTGCTGATCAACGTGGCAATGTTTGTTTTTGACTAGAAGTTGATCCAAGATCACCAGGGTATTTTTAATGAAAAAACGGATTTTTGCATGAAGCCTGTCAAAACTAGAGTTGCCGTATATCAGCCATTTTAAGTCAGAAACACACCATATTTTTGAG